CATGATGAACCACTCCTACCAAATGATATCGGTATATCTCGCCTTTAGCATGCTGCGCTCAATGTCGCTGTCAACGACCCAGTACTTGGCCCTCTCGCAGGAGCACGCAGACGTGGAGTGGAAATTCGCCCGGTGCAAGCTCTGGATGAGCAATTTCGAGGACGGCGGAACGGTCCCTCCACCCTTCAACGTGATCCCGACTCCCAAGACCGTCAGTTACTTCCTCCGATGGTGCTACCGCAAGCTTTGCGGCAACTCCCGGTCGGCCAAGAAGGAACACCTCAAGACTATCAGGGTATGACTCTCTTGCCCCGATTTAGTTGATATGCTATCACGTATGTGTTCTGAAGCAAGTGTTTTCGTCGCCTCACTTCTCGCAAGTGGGTCACCCTGTTGACATTTTCCCGCCTTGTATACGTTTGCCAACAGAGAAAAGCAAGGCAAGCCAGCGAGCGAGACATGAAGTACCAGGTAAGTATCACTTTTTTTGAGGTAGTTAATACACCTAACTTGGCAATGTGGAGTTTTCGAGGAGGGGTCTTAATCGTTTTGGGGCCCCAAAGATATAGTGTCGAGGCCACTGCGCATGCGTGAGACCAAAGCGGTGTTTGTATTTTGCGTTGGGGACGCTATTTCTCCAACTTGACGGGAGCCTCAGAGCTTTCCCCAAAAGCTTTGCGCCACACAAACGTGACGTTGAAGAGACGGCTGACCTGGAATAGGGGGAGTGTCCAAAGCACCGCAGACTCTATTCGAAAACTCTTAGCTCCTGCTTGACCCATAGCGAGCACACGCTATGTACTTTGGGGCCCAAAACGTATGACGCCCCCGTTCGAAAAGTCCCTAATGCCGCGTATGCGGACTCGCTCGCTGGATTTCGTGCCGACCGGCTGTGCCCCGCGATCTCCAACGAAAGCGCAGCCCTGGCCGACTGACTCGCCCTACGCCATCTCCTGACGCCACTCCTTACATCCGTATGTCACTGTCCCTGCGCCACGTTTTCACCTTCCTCCTCTCTCTATCTCTATACCTTTAATTCTACCCTTTTAATCCCTCCTTACCCTACCCCTTCGTGAGCTACTGTTGAGGTGTCGCACTGCGATGCAGACAGTTACGGGGCTCACTTTTTTTTTCTTTTTTTTAAGGTAAACGGCACTCTCAGACTGAAAGACAGCGCTTGTCCTGTGTCTTCCTACTTCTGTGTCTTCGTTTTTCGCGCTGTTTACCTTAAAAAAATGAATCGTTAACAACTCGCCCGATTTTATTACTACTCACTTTTTTCTTCTTTTCTCTTTTAAGAATCACGTAACAAAGCTTATGCTACGCGCCATACGAGACCGGTAGCTGTTTTGTGACCGCCATTCCCCGTGCAGACCATCATGCGTAACCTGGTACGGCGCTACATCACGAGCGAGCAGCGCAAGGCGGACAACCAGGGGGTGACGGAAGATGACGTCAACGAAATCAAGCAAGAGATCTCGTCTTTTCGGTACGAGCTACTCGAGGTGCTCAAAATTGGCGGCTTCAACACCTCTGGCGCCAGCGGACAGAGCCAAGGTGAGGGTGCCACTTTCGTTGCCGCATCAGCAGCCCATGTAGGTAGTCTTTGCGGTTTCAAGAGCCCGCAACAGTAACGAGCTTTCAGTGAGATCTCTCGCCCTACCCTTTTTTATGCACGCGAAGTTCAGACGCACTGCGTCATAAAGTGCGCGCCATCACTGCAACGCACCCCGACTAGTTCAAAGTGTCAAATACTCCTGGTTTGTTTTATTATGGTGCTACAATTGTTGTCGTGGTGGCGTCGAAGCAAGATAACTCATCACTCACATCTTAATGAAGGGTTCATGTCGACACACAAAAAGGAAGTTTGTTCAAGCTAATATTTTTGTTAGAAAAAGTTTCAGCCCCCTTGACGTTGGACATATTGTCACGATGAGTCACAAGTACTGGGGGATTTATTAAACCACAGGGTAGCAATCTCTAGGACGATGCGTCAGTCGTGGCTGGCTCTCGAGCAGAGAAAGAAGCACGCGATCTTCTTTTTCCTTCAGATTGAGAGCCGCTCTTGCTTTCGACCCACTACGTACTGGTGGCATTATCCCCCCTTCCGAAAAAAAAAACAAGTCCCAAAAAGAGGAAAGAAAAGTACATAGCATCACCGCGATGCTACTTCATAGGCACGTGAAAAAGAAATTGGAAATTCGGATAAAGTGAAAGTAAAAATTGAAGAGCGTGCCAATATAAGAAACGTCAATGAACGAGAAAGCAAGTTCACACAAATAAACAAAAAACACAAAGAATGCTGTACGGTAAAGGAAAAGTTACGAGCAACGCGCAATAAATGGTTTCATGCGCAACACATGAACGACGTCTGGCCTCAGTCGTGTCCTGCTCCGTGCATAGGGTGTTGAGTCCGGAACCACTTCGTAATTCACGTCACTGACGCGGCGTAACACTTTACATGGGCCAAAGTACCGGCGCAGTAACTTTTCACTAAGGCCACGGCGGCGGACGGGCGTCCACACCCAAACTTGATCTCCGGGGTTGTAAAACACTTCTCTGTGGCGGGTGTTATAGCGTCGTGCGTCTGCCTGCTGTTGCTGGCCGATATGCAGTCGCGCGAGTTGCCGGGCTTCCTCAGCACGCTCTGCAAATTCTTCGGCGTCAGTTGCCAACTCGTCTTCGTTTTGACACGGTAGCATAGAGTCTAGCATGGTCTGCACTTCGCGGCCGTAGAGAAGCCGAAATGGCGTGAATCGCGTGGTCTCTTGCACGGCGGTATTATACGCGAAGGTCACGTAAGGTAAGATACGGTCCCATGTTTTGTGCTGTACGTCGATGTACATTGAGATCATGTCTGCGAGGCTCTTATTCAGTCGCTCGGTAAGTCCGTTGGTTTGCGGGTGGTACGCAGTTGTCCTTCGGTGTCTGGTGTTGCCCAGTTTGAAAACTACGTCCGTAAGCTGTGCCGTGAATGTCGTCCCTCTGTCCGTTATCACACTGGAAGAAGCACCGTGTCGTAGCACGATGTGGCGCATGAAAAATTGTGCTACCTCAGAAGCCGTGGCTCGTGGGATCGCCTGCGTCTCAGCGTAGCGTGTCAAATAGTCGGTCGAGACGATCACCCATTTGTTGCTGTCCGCAGACAGGGGAAATGGTCCGATAATGTCCATGCCGACTTGGTCGAACGGCGTGCAGGGTGCTTCGATGGGGTGAAGCAGACCGGCTGGTTTAACAGATGGTTGCTTTCGGCGCTGGCATTCGCGACAGCTCTTGACGTACTTCTTTGCGCTTGCTGAAAGTCCTGGCCAATAGTACCTCTCGCTCACTCTGGCAAGTGTCCTTCAGTAGCCCAGATGACCGGATGTGGGTTCGTCATGGCAAGCGAAGAGGACGTCGTCTCGTATGTCTCGAGGAACCACCAGGAGATAAGCATGGCTGTTCGAACGAGCGTTCTTCTTGTACAGCAGGCACAAGAAGAACACCTTCTTCTTGTACACCATCTCGCAGGCAGAACGACGTCAACGAGCGGGATAAATGACGTGGTATGATAGCGCCCTGGCCCTCTAAATGATCAATGATTGGACGAATCTCTGCGTCATCTCACTGCCGTTTGCTCACGTCTGATACGCTAACGGCGCCCAGGAAGCCTTCGTCTTCCTCTGCTTCCTGACTGACGACATGAAGGGGGGCGCGTGACAGTGTGTCAGCGTCTTCATGCTTACGGCCGGACTTATGGACGATGGTGACATCAAATTCCTGCAGCCGCAAGCTCCACCGTGCTAGCCGTCCTGAAGGGTCACGCAGGCTTGCCAACCAACAAACCCCGTGATGGTCCGTCACTATCTTGAAGGGATGGCCATAAAGGTACGGGCGAAACTTTGTGATTGCCCACACGACTGCGAGGCACTCTTTCTCCGTAGTGGAATAATTCACTTCGGCACGGGATAGAGAGCGGCTGGCGTCGGCTATGACTCTTTCGGCGTCCTCTTGACACTGAACAAGCACTGCACCGAGCCCAAGGAGGAGGAGGAGGAGGAGGAGGAGGAGAAAGAATAAATGAAGAAGGACAGGGAGGTTAGCCAGTTCTCAGACCGGCTGGCTACCCTGTACTGAGGAAGAGGGTAAGCGGGATAAAGGATGAGAGAAAAGAGACGTTGTAAAAAAAAGAGAAAGAAGGTCATCAGACGATCCACGACGGTGTTCAGAGTCTGTCTCTAAGACCACTTGCCCGCAGAAAGCGCAACAACGCTCTCAGTGCCTTGCGTGCAGAGGACGGTCTCGGCCAGTGTCCTAATACCCTTTCTTCCGACAATTGGCGATTGTCTATTCTATCTAAAGCTTTTGACAGTTCTTTTCGTGGCACGCTGAAGCGGGGACACTCACAGAGAAGATGGGAGAAAGTCTCTGCGCAGCCACAGTTGTCACATGTGGGGCTTCTGGCCAATCCGATTCGAAACGAATAAGCATTCGTAAAGGCCACCCCAATCCACAGACGGCACAAAAGTGTCTCCTCTGCTCTGGTTATTCCTCATGGAAGACGGAGCTGTAGGTGTGGGTCCAAATTATGAAGGCGGACGTTGGTGAATGTCGGTGAATTCCACTGAGCGAGTGTCAGTTCTCGTGCAAGTGATCGAAGCCTTGCAGCGGCGTCCGTTCTTGATAATGGTATAGCTACACAAGGGGCATCATCATGAGCAGTTTGGGCTGCTTCATCTGCACGGTCGTTTCCATCAATGCTGCAGTGGTCTGGTATCCATTGATACGCTATGTCATGTTGTTTCTCTACAGCCCGGTGATGAAGCAGTCGTATTTCAGCAATTAGCTGTTCGTTTGGTCCATGACGATATGGCGAGGCAATGCCCTGGAGAGCTGCTTTGGAGTCGGAGAATATTGACCATGTCTGTTGCGGTTCTTCAAACTAGGAACTCCAGAGCGGCACGAATGGCGGCGAGCTCTGCCGCCGTGGATGATGTCAGATGTGAGGTCTTGAACTTCATTGTGATGGATTTCTCCGGAATTACCACTGCGCCTGTTGAACTTGTTGAAGTGACCGACCCATCCGTGTAAATGTGAATGCGTCCACTGTGTTTCTCATGCAGAAACAGTAATGTTGTTTGTTTTAGGGCCAAATTTGACAATTTTTTTTTCTTTTGCATTCCGGGGATGGTTATCAGGGCTTCCAGTGGATGTAGACACCACAATGGTAACGACGGTCTTGCTGCGTGCGTGAAGTTCATGGGAATCACCGTGCGGTGTGGGGCAATAATAGAGCACAACACAGAGCATGGCCTGGAAGTTGGAAGGGAGGCGAGGTGATGCGATTGAATCCGGGTGGCATGTCTTATGTGCGTTCTTAAAGCATCGACACGAGTGTAGGTTGTGATAGGGTGTTCATGAGCGATTGCGACAGTCGCTGCTGAGGATGCGCATCTCGGCAGCCCGAGGCATATTCTCAGTGCTTGAGCTTGTAATGACTGGAGGACGTGTACGTTTATTATGGGGGCCTTGCCAAGCACAGGTAGGCTGTAGCGCATGAAGCCAAGAAAAAGTGCAGCATACAGTTGAAGCATGGCTCGCACCGATGCACCCCATGATTTTCCCGCAAGAAACTTTAGGATGTGGGTGATCATGGTCAGTTTCTTCTTCATGTAAGTGATATGAGGGCTCCAAGACAAGTCATGATCTATTATTACCCCCAGGAAACGGTGAATCTTTTGATAGCTGATTGTGTGTCCATTAATTCTGATGCGGTATGGCGTCATTGTCTTGCGCGTAAACGCGTCTAGTGAGCATTTGTCATATGACAGCTCCAGTCCTCGTCCTTGAAGGTAGTTTGACGTCAGGCACCGAGCCCAATGTTACTAGCGTCGGTATGGACCTCCGTGTCAGCATCATCATCGAAATGAGCGAGAACGGGCGCTGATTGCATGCGCTGTCGCAGCTCATCAAAAGCTGCTTGTTGCTCGTTTTCCCAGCCAAACAACGTGTCGCCCTTGTGAGACGAGTCAGAGGTTCTGCTATCTGTGAAAAGCCATGAATGAACCGGCGATAGTAGGCGCAGAAACCAAGGAAGCGCCGGACGGCTTTCTTATCGACAGGAGTTGGTAATTCGGCAACAACGGCAAGCTTGTCCGGATCGGGCCTGATTCCTTCGGCGCTAACTACATGTCCAAGAAATTTTAGTTCTTTATAGCCGAAGTGGCACTTCTGTGGCTTTAGTGTGAGGTCCGCTGATCGGATAGCCTCCAGCACGCTGCGCAGGCGGTGAAGGAGCTGCTTGAACGTGGTAGAGAAGACCACCACATCATCAAGGTAGACAAGACAAGTCTGCCACTTGAGCCCTGTGAGGACAGTGTCCATCATTCGCTGAAAAGTTGCCGGCACTGAACACAAGCCAAAAGGGAGCACTCGAAATTGGTATAGGCCGTCTGGAGTCACGAAGGCTGTCTTCTCACGGTCTCGCTGATCTACCTCGATTTGCCAATACCCGCTTTTGAGATCAACAGAAGTGAAATAATGGGCACGACAAAGTCTATCCAGCGAATCGTCGATACGTAGCA